GAATTGTCGCGAGTTCTTTGTCGCTTATCACTCTTTTTTCAGGCCCCGTTAACTGATTTCATATGCCTTGTGACTGAAGAAGTTTTGCATTCCCGTTAACATAAAGCTGATTGCTGAAAGATTTGCTATTTCTCGAGTGGCAGCCTCGTACTGGCCATCGCAGTGTAGGACGACCCTCCACTAGATGGAGTGACGACCTGTGCAAATGTGCGGGAAGTCGATGGATGCAGGTGGCTCAGGATCGTACTTCATGGCAGTCTGTGGGGGATGCCTATGTTCAGCAGTGGACTCAAACAGGCTGAAATGATGATGATGATGATGATGATTGCTATGGGATAGGTATTTGGGTAATCGAGAACCACTGACGGACAAGATGATAAGTTATTACAATCCATTCCGATTTCGCAACCGTCGTAAATTAAGACAACAATCTCGATTTCCCCGTTTCGAATCTAATAAAAAGCGAGGTTAATTGCGAGAGCAAGAGAAGTTTTTAATTTGACATTTAAAGCAAAAGATATTACGAGGCGGGCAGATAAGATCCAAAGCCCGAAGATAACCTTTTATAAATATCGGAGATCTTTATTTCGTAATGTGTTTTTAATGAATCTTTAAATTCGTCGGTCGTACCGTTCCGTCGTCTTTGTCGGGTCGGTCTCTTTAATTGAGATCCATATACAAATAGAGGATGTAGAAAATTATTAATTTTGCAGTGGAATGGACGAATTTTGCGAATTTCTCTAATGTTTAAATTCGGAATTAAGATCTTTTTTTTTTATCTTTTAAAAAAAAAACACTGCCCTCACTTTAGGATAACATTATTCTGTGTTTTAAGGACGCTTTACAAACATAAATTCCATATGGACAAACACCCAGATTCGAAACAACTATCTGTGGGTCGCACAAATAGTTGTCCCGTGTGGGAATCGAACCCACGACCGACGAACCGACGCCGTAGCCAATACCTTGGCAAATGCGCCACGGAGTCATCAAAGATGCTTTGCCAATACAGTGGTAGGGCCACGCAACAGCTTCCGCTGTTGCACGAACGGGCAGACTCATCCGGGGAAGCACCACGGCATCACACAAGAGCGACGTGAAGTGGAAGTATACTTTTGCGTTTCGTCCGGTGAGTGAGGTAGCCGGATTCCATCTACGGGTGGTGCGAACCACTTAACATCAGGTGAATCGTCTGCTCGCTTGCCAACCTTTCACAAAAAAAAAAAAACTGTCTTCGTGAGCTTTTTGTCACTCTCTTCTCTTTTCACCAGCACAGGGCTGGTAGGTTGTAGATCTTGTGACCGATAAAACTTTGCATTGCCAATAGACAGTTGACTTATCTTTCGCAGACACACAAAATGAGATGGAGTTGATAAGGCTGACTTTCTGCCCCGTCATATCAAACGAAATTAGGCCCAAACTATTGCACAGGTCTATCGATGTTTTTCCCGATAAATATAATCCAAAATTGTCGACATATTATCGACACAATTACCAATGAATCGTTCCGTACCTGTTAATCGTGCTTCGACCGTTCGCATAATATTCATCGCTCGCTAATTCCGATTATTTACCAAATTGGGACGGCCGCGCGAAGACGTGCCACGGCGTGCAGCGTGTGGTGACTGGTGACGCGAAATGGCAGGGCGAATTTGCATGCAGCCGTCAAAAATTACAACGCGCCAAGTGTGAAATTGCCTAATGAGGGGAGCCCCAAATCGACCCGTTACGCACGCAGCTGAATACGCGAGTGGATTTCAGTTATACAGCAGGTGTCCGAGGCGAGTTCACTTTAGGTCAGTTTAGTGGTTACTGGGGGGGATTCGACATTTTTTTATTTCAAATTCTGCAATAACATGTTACTTCGTGTGAATTTGTCTCGTGTTTATAGCATAGTAATAGGATCGAAGCAAACGTAGAAGTCGAAATTTCTTTATTTAATATAGACTTATGTTAAGCTCTTATTGAGGGGTAACCAGCACCGGTTCAATAAACTAGACTATCTAGAGAAGAACCGGCTCTTTTATTAATGTGTAAATAATGAGCTATATCTTTTAATAAAATATTGTTTATGAAAATTTTTGAAGTGCTGTTAGTGCATCCAAATATATTTAAATTAATTAATGATTATTATTACTTCATTAGTAATGAGCGATCTGTGTGAAACATTTAATTTATTCATAATTTAAAAATAGATTCAGTTTAAAAAAAGTAAACGTTACATTAACGTGTTACGTTGCGTGTAAAACCCAATTGATGTTGTGGTGTTACATTTTTAATTTCATTTATTTATAACATTTACAAATTTAAACTGTTAAAAATATATATTGTTGATATCAGTTTTGCACTCTAGTATATATACACTTTAAATTCCTTAGAAAGAGTCCACAATATGAGACATCGATGTTTTGCACTTAGAATTACTTCAAATCCTTAATAATATTATGAAGGCGAAAGTTTGTATGTATGTATGGATGTTTGTTACTCTTTCACGGAAATACTACTGAATGGATTTTTAATGAAACTTTACAATAATGTAGCTTATACATCAGAATAACACATAGGATATAATTTATATACATATTTTATGTATATACATATAATATTTTACGCAGACGTAGTCGCGGGTAGCCACTAGTTACAGAATAACTGCCAATCAATAATAGAATACTTATCTCCCAAAGGTGTTTATTTTCACAGCGAATTCGCTCGTCGCGTTCGCTCCGCGGAGCCTCCGTAGCATTAGACGAAGTCGCCGCTGAATAAATAACCAATGGATTTGCATGGGGCCTAATGAAAATTCATTATTCATTTAGGCCCTCATTAGAAGGCCGCGACGTGGCGGAATCAAATGTCCCTCCTCCGTATTCGTCCTAAGCGTCCTTTGGAATCTATCACTGTCTGTTCATGAAAAAAAATACCCCCCCCCCCCCCTCCAATCGAACCGCCCAAATTTATGTAAAGTACTCTAACTAAATATTCCGTGGGTCACAATAATATTTTGATTTCCGATGCCTCGAGCTTTCATTGCGTTAGGTATGCATACATAGCAGTTCTGTGTGCAGAAATGTACGCTTATCTCTCGTGGGGTCGTATTGGTCTGCTAAAGACGTAGAAATTCACGTTGTTGGGGCGACGCAGCAGCCTCGTCCGGGTAAGTACCACGACCTCACGGAAGACCGGCGTAAAGTGGAAGTATAATACTTTCGCGTTTCGTCTGCTGAGTTAGGTGGCCGGAGCCCAATTTTCGAAAGGTTGTCAACGCATCTGGAAGCTCGGGTGTCCATGGGCGGCGGGATTCACTTGACATCAGGTGAACCGTCTGCTCGTTTGGCAACTTTTCACATAAAAAAACAAAATTTTTTTCAAACGGTAAAATACCAACAATGCTATACAGACGCGTAAACGTTCAAAATATAATGCTTCGTTTATGGGACTTCCATTTAATAAGGAAAATGTGTATTGACAGGTCTGTGATAGTAAAAAATAGATATAAAACCACCGTACCGTATCGCGTTCTATCTGTCCGCATCGCTTTTTAGATCTTAACGCACTTGTTTAGGTACGTAGGTTCCAGAAAGTTTCATTAAGTTATTCGTTGCGAACACATTTAGAAGGAAATCTGTTTAATTTACAGGTAGCTTTGAGATCGTCATTATTCGGGGGTGTCTGTGTCAAATGAAGGGGCCCTCAATAACTTTCATCTGACAACGTGCAGATAAAACGTAGGAGTGTGAGCAGGATGGGTAGCTACCTCTGTCCTGCTTTTATTGGTGTCGCTTGTTCGTCCTTCCAAAAACAACTATTATTAGCAAGTCTGATCTTTATTCTATTACCTTCTCGATTTAAGTAATTTAACTTATAATTTTCCTTTATTGTTTCACATGCCTGACTAGCTCCAAAGTTAGTTAAATTAGTGACGAATATATTTTATTTACGAATATATTATTTTAATATCAAAAATAAGTGGCACAACGCGACACTACGTAACAATGAGAGTACAAAACAATCACTTCCATAAGCCCATTACACTTTTAACGACTCAATTACCACCTACCACTGCATTACCACTTACCACCGTGTGGCGCCGCAGCAACTGAGCAGTTGACGATAGAACAAAAAAAACTTAGTCTCGTCCGTACTTCGACCCGAAAGTCGGCCGTTATTTGTACATTCGTTTAGTTTCTGGAGCATTCCACAGGTATGCGCTGTCGGCGGGGGCTATATTTATCACCTACGACCGAAACAAATACGTCACGTCGGGAACAATGTTGTACCCTCGTTTAGCGAGGGGGCCCCGCTAATGTTCCCACCGAGCTATCGCCTGTGACGCTAATAGGAGCTCGAAATGAATGAACGTGTTCGACTTTGACTTTATCGAACGCTTTTTAAGACGTCAAAAACGAAAAGTCCACCGGCGATGATGTTTAGACGCCCCGAGTTCGAAATTCTGATTTCGAATTTTGTCTGCGAATTGTAATGAACCTGACGCGCCCCGACTAACGAACTCGTCATTCGCTTCGAACGGCGAAAGAGTTCAGAATAATGACCCGTGTCTCATCAAAGATTCCTAATAAATTAGGTTATGGAACCATAACGAGACGTGCACTCATTCTTAGTCATTATAAACAGTAAAGGACTGTACGACTCCGATTAAGATAATTAGTGCCCAGTATAATATAAACCACACAGTGTCCCATGCTTTACGGTTTACGGGACATCCATGTAATTGACAATTGACGTGTAATTCTATTTTGGACATACGGATTCTTTACGATGCGACCTACTGGTAGAAATACTACTATTACTGCTATCACCTCAGGTAGACGATTGGATTGAAGACAAGCCAGACAGCTGGACGGACTGGCCGGACTATTAAGACTGTAAAGTACAAAGAAATCTATTATCCCTTTTAAATCTTCTTACTTTGACAAATTTTTCGGGAACGCCACGTGGAAGAACATTGCGCAATATTTGTCATGGCGTAGTATGGAGGGGGGATGGGGCTGGAAGTAATTACATGCAACATTTTCAAACCCGTGGCTAATTCGCCGCGTAGAAACACTTCGACGCCACAAACATCCAATTAGTCGGACGCGGAAGGCCCCCCCCGAGTCCGTCCCCGCTACCTGCCATTGTTGTAGTTTTTTTTTCTGTCTATACCAATCCGTTGCCATTTTTTGTGGCCAGCGTTTTTGTGGAAAATAAAATGGGAGAAATAAAACCGGCGGGTGCCACCTCACCATTCTCATTCCGTACTCGACTCGCGGCCATTTTGCAGGCGCGAAATAGAGACGCGGGAAATTGTTTCTATTGAAGAATTCATCGGTTGCGAAGCGCGTAATCGTTACGGCCTTTGATCTCGTTTTTTTTTTATTTCGATTTAGCGATACGGGCCAAAGGCGCTGATTTGATACTGGCCGAATTGGGTTTCTTCTTTTTATATTCACGTACTAAAGTATACGAATTTTTGTCTTGGCATACTATAATATTAAGATTTCGGTTAAACCGGTTCCGGTTAACGGTTAAAATGTTAAACTAAGCCCTACCTGCCTACACAAATAATCCGTGCATAATCTAAGAATAGCTTAACTCTGCCTATATTTTAATATATGTAATTGTTATTACAGTCTTTATTTATTTTGATTTAAATCCATGGTGCTGTGTTTATTTAAAGTCATTTTATAAGTATCGTCATGTTTGTTATCTGAATGATATGTTTTTTTTTGTTTTTATCGTATGCACGCACGTTCGGCGTCAGTAACTGTAAAAGAAGCGACTCGTGCCATCTGTTAGCGGGTAGCGAAATATTTGCACTTGTCTGAATTCGCTCCATTCATAGAGAGGATTTTGTCCCAAATAGAATAGATATATGGTAATGACGTACTCGACGAGTTTTGTTTACTCTTGCAACGCAATTACATTGATATGTATTTCCTGTTCATTTTTTTGCAACCGTCTAAAATGTTAAACGGTTAAGACCTGCGTTGATGTTTTAAAGACGTGAACCTTATGTAAGAGGTTTATGCAATCGCTTTGCATACCTACAATTTCGCTAGGAATTTGCTTCGCTTCGACGCAGGCGTTTTAAATTAATTTTAAGTGATTAATGCATACTTATTGCACTCGCGTCTAGCTCCACTTTTACTTTCGTGATATAGCGTTTGTAGAACATGGGATAAACTCTTGATATCGTATCGCTATCGATGTTTTGCGTGTTTATCTGTAAGGGTGACCAACTATGAGGCCTTTTTACTGGACAAAGGCGTTTTGTCGATAGAGCTTATTAACATTTCTGATAATGTACATACTTGGTGATGTACAGTACCGGTCATAGAGCAGCGGATCACATAGACGAATGTAATCATAGACGGCGGTGATCCCTTCCAATCAAGCAAGGCTGTGACTCGTTTTCAATCTATTTAAAGACAATCTTTCTTATCGTGTATAATCTTGGCCTATTAAAGTATGCATTTACAGCTTTCCTTATGATGCCTTCGAACAGGTAAAGAGTCAAGTCCCGGGATCAGCACTTTCGTACCTTTTCAGTTCTAACACAGGTACACCGATACCAGATAGAGATGGTACACGATACGTCTGTCTCACCGACCTTTTTGAGTTTTATAACGGGACAGAAAGAGAAAGTGCTATTATAGTTCATGTTTACACAATCCGGATATGACGACATCTTGTATACGATATATCTGTAGCATCGAATAACTTTACACTGAGGTTTTTCGCTCTTCAATGTGTATGTCTTTTATTCTTTCGACCAATCAAAGGTCATCATTATCGCCGTGGTAATAACGGGTCACAATCGAAATCTTCACTCGGTTTCGCGTCTAAACTGTTTGCGTCCCCAATATCATTTACAAAAGTCCGCGTTCCGACTTGTACGGTACGGATGCCCAAACAATAGTAAACTTTGCGTTTAAATAAACAAACCGCATTTTTAGACGGGGGGATTATGTTGAAAAAAATCGGTCACTCCCTACCTACGGACGCTTGACGAAGTTTTTTTTTTTTTTTGGAGCTCTCTGTTACCCGACGATGGATGTCTCGGAGGGTTTTTTGTGCTGTGCCAACGGTTGGTGGTTGGGTTCGTCTGTTATTTGGATATCGTAAACATCTGAGTTTTTTCCGCCCCGTCATGTTATAGACTGACTTCGTATTATGTTTCAATTAATTACGACCGCTTAAGTAACGCCGTGAGTCAATGCGCCATATAATGTGACAGATAATAAATTAGACACATAGTCCATACAGCCGTCATAATTCTTTAATCCCCGACGTTTTGAATACTTCACAGCCTAAATAGTACCTACGTTTTATATGCGTATATAGAAAAAATCGTTAAATAAAGTGATAACTTAGAAATTCGATCGGTTTATATAACTAATTGTTTGAAACTAAAACCGCAAAGAATTTATTATTAATAACAATCGGTGTAAAGTTTATTTTAAACTTTAATTTCGATTGCGAGTTTGACGCTTCAGATTACAGGATTTTAGGATTAATAACTCCGAATCTGCAAGCTAAACTTTTCGATTGTTTATGGTTACGTCGACCCATTTAATTTCTTTTGCTTTATGGTTCTTTTGCTTTATATCGTTGGATAGTAATGTTAAAAATAAAAGAGAATCGCGATAAAATCCATACAAATAGTTTTTGTTTTTAACTCGGTATCGGATTATCGTTTCGATGGACAAAGCCGGCAGCGGAGGCGATTCCACCGCCGCAACGCAACAATTAAATCCAATAAAGCCGGGACTGTAATCACTCGAAATTCGTTTTGCATTTTCGTATCCGAATTAAGCAGTCGGTCGGTCGGCCGGGTATCCGGAATTCCGCATCCGAGGCGGGGTTTCTTTTCATCACACGTGTGGCTGTTCCAATTTGCATTCGCATAAAAGGCGTTAAATTGGAAATTTGCGCGCGTCCATCCGTCGCCGTGGCGAAAGGGATATAGAGTCCCGGTATTAATTATGTTAAAAACGCGCTAAGGAACGCGCCAAGCGCCGCGGGACCGCTTTACCTGGCATTCTTAAATAACGCTAGAGCGGGACGCAAGATATATGTGCACCGAAAGGGAACAATTGTTAGTTGGTCGACTATCTTTGTAGAGACGAAGTGCGGCCGGGACCGAGGGCGACGCTACCGACAATGCACACGCACCGTCCATCCACTATCTGGTTATATTAACCAGCCGCGTTCGAACGACTCCGCGCCGTTTACAAACAAACGGAGACGCGCCGCCTCTCCTTTTTGGCCGAGGTGGCGGCCGGTGTGTCGACCATGCGCCGCGTATTCCCGTTTCTAAACCAATCCCGGCCAACTTCACGCCAGTTGCGTCCCGACCGCCGTCGACGGCGGACCAGTGCCGCGCGCTGCCCCGCGATCGTCGCACTCGCAACGGCCCAAAGTGATTCGTAACTAAAACAAGTTCCAATACTCCTCGGACTCTGTGCCTCCTGCTATTGTTATGGGCGAACGGATCGACTGCAGCGCGTTAGTCGCGCGCGTACGATGACCAAAAGTTTGTTTCGCGCACACAGTGGAAAAAGTTACACACCGAACGCACTCGACGTGTTTGAAAAGAAATAATGTGCTGGTAATAATAGTGTGATGGCCTGATGGGATCGCAGTGCGGCCGAAATCGTTTAGCTAGTGATGTGTACTGTGATATGAGCCGACGGCAAAAGTGTAGATGATTGCCGTGTTTATATGTGATATTATTAGCTTATTAGTTGCCAAAGATTCCTGATGATCTTGTATATTAGTTTGTGTTTCATTTTGGTAGTTTTAGGTGAGTGTTAATTTTGTATTTGACGTTTGCTGTTGATGTTGATGGTGTTTGTTAGCGACGGCCGCACGCCGTCATATCGGCAAGATTTATTGACGAATTAATAACGAGGCACTTTCACACGCGCGTAATTAAGCAGGGCCCGGGTGACTTGGTACCGAACTTACAGATAGGATAGCTGCGTTCATAAATCGCGTTTAAGTTGTTTGCTTTTAATTAAATCACCAATTAATCAAATAATTAATGTTAACATTATTGATTTAGTCATGTTAAGTTGAAATTATTCTAAATTTAAAATGTTTAATTTGATTAACTTTACTAATTTTAGAAAGATTTCGTTTTATCTTAAGATGTATGATGATTTCATATATCTTAAGATCATTTAATTTGTTAAAATAAAAATAAAAATAACTTTATTAAAATATCTCGTAAACTAACATTCTTTACTAACTGTACTTTTCTCTACGTTTTATTTAGTTTGTTTACATTTCTTGTATATTTGATGAAAATTTATTAGAAATAAAATTTTAATTTTACATGACGTCGTCTATGAATCTTGAGCCTACTTCGTGATAAAACATTTTTGAACATACCAGCCAATATTTGCCGGAATTATAGAATTGTTCAAATTGAACTTTAAAAAAAGTACACTTTCTGAACTGCAATCAAAAACATGGAACACGAAAAGTCTTCCCCGGAATGTCAGTTGAAAACGTGATAATTTTTCATTAAACGCTAGCTTACAGAGTGCGCGTCGCTCCGTTAATTATTGAAGGATAAGCAACTTTATCGAGTTTAAATCATTAGTTCTAATTAAAACGCTCGCATCAATTAACGCGAATGGAATTAGCATCGTAATAGTATTTATTCGGTTTCTATTTCGGATCGTGATTTCTTAATATTAATGGATAATATTATCATAATATGTATATATAATTTATTCATGTAAAGCAATTCTCAAGCAAATATTGTCGTTGTATCGTCAAATATTTAATGCATATATATCCAATAGATTCAAATCTACACATTAATTGATTGGGCGTTTGCAATAAGTTTACGGTCATAATATTTTAATGACATAGAGAAAATAAATATTCTTACATTTTTTATTGCTTAGACCTTATACATTTTACTAAAATACTCATATTCTAATAAAATCAATAAATAAAGTTGAATCTACTCACCCGACTGTCGAAGTTAACTAGACAATCAATTATAACTTTATTATTTTAAATTGTTTGGTGAATGGTCCTATTGCGCGTTGTAGACCTAACATCTGAAGTTCATATCATATACCTAGGGCATATCTGAATATCACTTTACGAATAAAAATAAATAAAAATACTGTACATCATTCAACGTCTTTATAATTTTACAAACTATGCAAACAAAAAAAGAGGGCTTAAAACTATTTTAACTATAAGTGGTGACATTTAAAACAAATAAGTATGAATTTAAAATAAGAGTATGATAGGTCTTTAATTATAACTGTTAAGTGCTTTGATACAAAAAGGATTTTCGAAAGGTGTTTTTTCAAAAGCATAAGACTCTACAATCATATCTCCCTATCGTAACTTTTAATTGAACGATAGTAAAGTAGCATAAATGATGCAGGCGTAACTCTTACCGTTCGCCTAATAAAAAGTCAATAAAAACATCATCGTACACCGTACCGAATTGCTGGTCCGCCCGCATATGTACATCCCGGGACACCGCCTCGCGTACCGGTACCGGCCTTAAATAACCCCCGTCTCGTGTCAATTAGTGCCCAATAAACCTTTTCGTGGTACGGTATTATCTTTTTAATAGAGTGCAACACTTGTATTTTGCGTTTGATATGCGTTTCGGTTTATCTGTCATCGATGCCTCCTACAACGACTCTACATCACAAAGTCAGACAAATTTTTAACATTTTTGAATTATGTATTTGATATATTACACATATTATGTCTTTAACTTTAATTGAAAGATTTAATTTGAGTGTTTAATTAAAACATTTAAATTAATTGACTATTTCATACTAATTTCAATGAATTTAGTTACATCTTTTTTTGTGACGTGTAGAAGGGTTTGCAACGTTTCAATATGGTATGTTTTAACTAAAAAATCTGTTTTGGCGATCTTCATTAGATCGTATTGTATGGATCATTTAAAATACCCGAACATATGTTTAAAAAAATATATGTATATTCGGAAAAGAGATACGATAACGGAGTTATTCGAAAAGGTTTTCGTTAAATAAACAGATAAAAAATTCTCCAGCGCTCACTACTCTCGACCCGCGTGTTTTTTTCAAGTATTTGATGTTTAATTTCGTACGACGATACTCCTTTATAGAGTATGACGTAATATCCGGGGATATTAAAGTTAAAGTGCCGTTATCTGGTATTTTTTCCACCGATCGAGCTCGCTGAAATTGACAGTCGATGTAGTTTCCTCCAAAAAGCCAACATAATTCTCTTAGAGGCCCCTTTATTATATAAGTTCCACAAAGAGTTCTTTAAAGTTTCGTAATGCTTAGAACTCTTAAAATGTTGGTAGGTATGTAATAAAATTATTCTCTAAGTTAAGCCTTTTTAAAACGAAAAAAAAAAATCAATATACCTAATATTGAATTTTATTTTTCGTAGTTAGTATCGGAAATAATATTTGAAGTTACCGGCATAGCCATTATTTATTATTACTTAATATTCATAGTTACGTTTGCTAATCAATGGTTTACCGTGCCGGTGTTCTGTGCAGTCGTACTATTTCCCCGGACGGACCTACCCATTTATGCAACAGTAAAAACTATCACTTGGCCCTACCGCAGTTGGGCCGGGGCCATCTTAGCCCTTGATATACTACGTGTTCTACTATACTACCGTTAAAAATAATAAAACATGTCAAAATATTTGCAACAGAGTGCCACTGCAAGAATTCATAAAATTATAAAACAACAGGGAATTATAAAATCGTCAGTATGTTCGTGGAATTAAATGATTTTTTATTGCTACTTTTCTTATTACCTATATCGGTTATTTACTACTTATTTAAGACTTTACTTGTTGGACCTTACTGAGGAGCATATCGTTTGTTTATGTATTTATATCACAATATATAAGTATTATATTTATCAGTAATTCACAAAGGCAACTTGTCTTCCGGAAAGCGATTCTAGCGAATAACTTTACAAATTCTCGCGCGTTATCACATAAAAAAATCACTGTACACTAAAATAAAGGAAGCTCCGTCTGCTCCAATAACTGTTATGTGCTTTTGTCTATATTCGTTATTGGAAAACATTTCTGTAGGTTGCAAACTGTGACAGGTCCACTGTACGAGGCAATACAGCGCTTTCCGAACGGACAATAAATGGACACGACAGCGTCGCCTTCCCAATATATGCTATTTGTTATGAAAAGGTATGAAACGGGTGTCCATTGACGTGGGTCCCGGTTCGGAGGTCCCAAACGCCATCAATCGGCCGATATTCTATCTCTCCCCGTGCTCTTCTATTTTCCCGTCTTCCTCTTAACAGAGCGGGCCGTCCGTGCCAATCGAATTTGTCCGCACGTGACCGCGCCTCGCGACCCTAAGCTCCCCTTTTTCAACCGTCTTCAAAAAAGGAGAAGGCTCTCAATTCGACTGTTTTTCTTTATGTTACCTCAGAACTTTCGACCGAGTGAACCGAATTTGATGATTCTTTTTTTAATTGAACGCTGGTGCTTCCCATGTGGTCCCGTATTTATTTCATTGGTATCGGATCATGGGCTCCGGAGATACTCGGGGATCTTCTGAAAATCTTAACATGTCTCGCTCTGTATTCATTTTATAATTGATTTTCATGAGTTCCCTAAGTATCTCCGCAGACCGAGATCCAATACCAGCTTTCAAATGAAAAAAGTCGAAATTTTTGAGGTAACAAACAAAAAAAAATACAGTCGAAATGAGAACCTCCTCCGTTTTTTAAATAGGTAAGTGAATACAGATCGAGATATTTGAAGTTTGTTTTGTCTTTCGTTAATAAAGAACTTGTCTTGTTTCGAAGCGTCCGGAATGGGGATATTTCGGCGGCGGCTTTATTGCGTAACGGCACCGCGCTGCATCTTAGCGCGCGGCCGTTCGTAGCTCAACGCTATCGGTGGCGTCCAGGCGGCCGTGTGTGCTTTTCTGCGACGCAGTTTCTAGTTTCATATGAAACCTATTTTCACGACTTTTTTTTTTTAAATTCGTTGACAGTTTGTTTGAATTGCAACGACCTGGCGACATCGCCTCGAACCCGTCTTTGTACCGGTTGGCCTCCAAATTGAAGGGTGGGCCATTGTGATTTCAGCATATCAATTTTTCCCCAATTTTCAAAAGGTTGTCAACGCACTTGCAACCCTCGGGTGTAGCGGATGTCCATGGGCGGCGATATTTACTTAACATCAGGTGAACCGATGATTAGTATTCATGTTAATATAGGGTATATTATATTATATTGTACCTATTACATTGTACTTAATTTTAAATAACACATACGCGTTTAGTAAAACGTAAAACCGAAAGATCGAAACCTCGATCTTCCAAAAGACTTTTTAAATATATAAAGGAATAAAATCATATTTTGTTGCACATCGAAAATCTAACTAAACAGGA